CATCAAGAGATAAGGTTTCATATAGTCAAGTCAAGAATATAAGTTAATTAGTAAGTTTTTGAGTTATAAGCCAAGTCTTTAGGTGTGAAAATATTTTTGTCACCTACCTGTACTGTAAATAAATTAAAAAAATAGCAAATAATCAGTATCCACAAACTCTCACCAATGATTACTTGTACTAACTTTTTACTAAAAGCAAGTAGAAGACTCAAGACCAGAAGTTAACAACAACTTGTAGTTTATTCGATATGAATTGTTATTAACAAAGTCTTTAAATGTGATACACCAGAAGCAGGTATTTTGAATAGTTTGCAAAAGAGTTAAGCTCTTTTTTCTCTTGGGTAGACTCTCTTTTGTATTCGGCATTCAAATCAGAGAAGTTTCTGAAAACAGTAAGTAGAAGATAAACTTAAGTTTGTTTGAAGACAAAAGGCTATAAAGAACTCTTGGAACAACACTCTCTAGTTAAAAACTTACAAAACTACGATTACCTCTTGCTATTTTTTTTTTTTCATAATTTTCAATAAAAAGTGAGGATTTGGCTTATCCTTTTCAAAAGATTGGTATTGTTTATCACTTTCTTTTTTAAAAAATCATGAGTTTTGATATAATGATTGGAAAACAAAACAAATCACATGTAAAAAAGAAGTTCTAATAAATATCTGAATCAAAGAGAAATAAATAGTACATACCTTGTTTAGATCAAGTATGACTTTTAGATAGCCCTATTTGAGATAGATCGAGGAAGTAGCTTCTGAAGATAGTAATCAAAAAGACCAATCCTGTTAATCTAAAATATAGAAGAGCATGTTCAAAGTGAAGAACTGTAAGTAGCAGAATTCTGTTCATAGTTAGGGCTTGCTTAAAGTGAAGAAGATGATCATATGATTAAAACTTTAAAATTAGACATTCTAGAATTTAAAATAGATTTAATAGAGAGTTGTAAACTAGAGCAATAATATAGAGATATGCTTATTCTGAAGTCATATCTGAAGTTATATATATATAATTTTTAGCTTTTAGCACAGGTTAAAATATACTTTAGTTTGTGGTTTTTTTTTTTTATCAGATAGCTCTATATATAGATTTCTATGACTATATAGATAGTTTTCATCTGGTTAGCAGGTTTTATATCTGAAAATAAGTTCTTATGGATTTTAAGATAGTTTTTAGATTTCTTTATAATTTGATTATTTTTTTTATATATTTGTTTATATCTTACTCTTTTTTGTAGTTCTTATATCTTTTTTTTCTTTTTTACTTCTCTACAAGAAAGTGTTATCAGATTGGTAATATTCTATTATAGAACAGTGATTCTGACAAGGTTAGTGAAAACTATCTGTTGATATCTGAAGTTTATATTTTTAGTAAGTTAAGAATCCCAAAAGAAAAAAAAATGGTTATTTAGATAAGTCACTTCTGGGTTATACTCTAGTATAGAATTTAGAGTTTACTCTTTTTTTTATTGTGATAATGAGATAGATCGAGAGAATTTTTATTTAGACAAATATAAAGTACTTAAGAGTCAAATAGTAGGTTTAGCCAACTAAATTCTTGCTATAATATACTGCTGATTTATAAAATAAAAATAGAATCGCTGAAGTAAAAAAAATAGCAAATAATTACAAATAATAAATATACAAAACTAAAATTTATCTTCTAATAGTTTTAACAAATTTTTAGTTTTATTTATTGGATTTAAGATTAAAAAAACTAAACCCAGTTTTTCTTCTATTAATATTATTATTTACAAACTTTGTTTAGCAAATATCATATAAATATATTATTAATCTTGAAAACAAACTTACTTAATAAAGATCTAACTACAAAAAAAAACTATTTTTTTTGTTTTAAAGATTCTTATATAATATAAGTAACAACTGAATTAAAACAAATATCCTATAGCAAACTCTTATAATTATTTCTTTGTTTTTATAATTATTTTAACAGTATATAGAGTGAAAGTATAGTTTTTGAATATATAATCAAGTTTTCTTAAACAATTCATTTTTGTAATAAACAATTTGTTTAAAATTAGATAATATATGTAGTTAATAGTAGAGTTCTGAAAGTGCTAAATATAGATATTACAATTACTTTATATAGAATAAAGATTAACTAATACTATTTTATAAAAATTAATCCTTATTTAAGTATATATATAATAGTTACTCTTAAGTATATAGTATTATTTTTTAGCATATTATCTTTATACGAAGAGATTCTAGACTTTTTAATATATTACTAGTTTATACATTATTTCTATATAGAAAAATTAAGGTTTTTAAATTTCTTGTACTATACTATTTAAATATAGAATTAGATGAATAGTATATGCTTGATATTTGCAGAACTCTAGTTACCAAAAATAAAAAGGTATCTAGGTAATACTTAATATCTACAACAATAGTAGGGTGCAGTCCAAAATTTCTAGAAGTCATATGCATGATCATCATTTTGTGTAATATTTATGCATACAAAAATTTTTTTATATAGTATTAAATACAGTATATTGATATTGTAAATTTATATACTGATATATACGTATGTACATACATGATTATTTTTATATCAAATATGTATATAAGACACTTTTGAAGAAGATCGATGATAAACAATAACCTTCATATACATATAAAGTTTTTAAAAATTATAGTAATTCCTTAAATATCATTATTCGTCTCCAACATATTATAAATCCTGTTATAAAATTAAAGTTATTTCCTGATACTATATTGCTATGACCAGGTTAAATATATATAATAAAGTTTTTGTTAATCTGCTATCATTAATAAATTGATTGGATATAAGTAGTTTTTTTAAAAAAAGTTTCTGTACAAATCAATTTTCTAGTTAAAGTTTAATTGAACAAGATTATGTTATAGTGATAATGATTACTGATTTAATTAAAAATTTTTTAAGAATAAAAATTGCAGAGTTAAAACCTATAACTGAGGTTTTCACACTATAACACTTATATTATATTGTACTTGAATTATCTCTTATTTAAACAAATCTTTTGTAAGATTCCATTTGAACATTTTAGAGCACAAACATATATAATTATAAAATATCTATAATCTTTAAACTCTGCAATGATCAATAATATTTATCAATATATAAAAGAAGAATGGTTAGAAAATTATTCTTTTTCTCATATTTTACACTTACTATACTTGATATATGCAGATATTCCTTACGGTTGCTTTTTTTATGATAGAGAAATGTAACTCATATACACAAAAATATCCTTCTGAAAATTTCAAGCTTCATGGAAAAGTGTATAAGACTTGTGCAACTTGTTTGATTAAAAAAGCTGAGAAAAAAGCTGATAAAAAAACTATACCCGATCATAATAATATTAAAACAATTCTATTAGACAATTTAAATAAATATGTTATAGAGTTAATAGACAGCCTTGAGAATAACTCTGAGTTATCTTTTACAATAAACATCGATGCCAACATGTTTGATCAAAATTTCGGTATCAAGTCAATTATCAATATAGTTGTCAACAGTATTGAGGAAGGTGATGGTTATAATTGGATATAAGTAGTGAAAAAAATTAAATTTTTAAAGAATAAATTTTTAACATATATATGTGAAAAAAATTAAATTTTTAAAGAATAAATTTTTAATATGTATATGTTTAAATGTTTGAAGAGTTAAAACAGCACCCCGTATATCAACTTGTTATGAAAACATTAATATTTTCTACTTCGGCTGCTCTCAGTCAAATGATTTAGCATGTGATTACAAAGAATCTAATCGTTCAAGAATAGAATGCTTTAATTGTCATAGAATGCTAGTTATACATATTGATATACCTGCAGCTAAAATGATAGTAAAACTTAAACATGAAATCTTTTATAAAAGATCAATTGATATTACAATGCCTGAAGAGATCAAACAAGCAATTCTAGAAAATATTTATATGGATCCTGTGCAACTTAGAACATATCTTTATGATAAGTTTGATATCTCAAAAATTATATTGCAGCAAATTAGATATTGGTAGTTATTCTTTACTCAGAATTTTTATAAATCTGATAATGATCATGTTAATTCAGCATATTCTTTTCTTAAATCAGACAAAGCCACAGATTGTAAGTTTTGCTATAAGTTAATAACAGGTCAAACAACTGCAATTAGGTTTATTACACTCTTGTATAACAAAATTAAATCAATATCTGAAATTCATTGTAACATTACCTACAAAACTGCGAAACAATAATTCGAATTGTATAGACTTATTTGCAATTTTAAGAGTGCAAGATATTCACTGGCTTATCTAATTTAGATACTACTATTAAAGTTTCTGATAAGGAACTACAAGATGAAAGACAAACACATGCTCTAACTAGGTTTTTTGATTCAATTCGCAGTAGAGATTTATATCCTGACTATTTTTTTATAGACAAGGACTTTTTAGAAATAAATATGGCAAAGAGAGTCTGGCCTAATGCTGATATACAACTTTGTCAATAGCATTTTTTTTTTTTTTTAAATGTTCAAGGTGAAGCCATGCTTCTAACTTTATTGAAATTTATTTGAACTTTTTTACAGAAAGAAATTACATAAACTCCTTTACAGAAA